ACATGAAATCATTCCAAGACATCTGGGTCTTGGAATTGTAGATACTTCCTAATCAACCTCTTCAGAAATGTTATTAAATGCCTTGTGAGTAGGTGGGTAGCCCAGGCCTCCTGAACCAGAGGCAGGAACACAACCATTGCACCACAAGAGTCCTATTGTCATGGAATTATACATTTTCCCTTTAACCTCTAATCACAAATCAAAGCATATGTGTTTTTATACTTGTCAAGGAGGAAACGATCTCCAAATGACCTGTACAATCCCATCTCCTCCTTGTGATTCATCCATGTTATATACAATGTGTATGTATTCATGTTAAATGTTCGCGTATTATAGACTGTAAGTATGCATGTTACAGATTGAAAGACAGGGAAGTTGAGGACGTAGTAGGGACGATATGTAAGTAAGTCTGGAGACAGCTGTACTGGCTTCCATGGATCTTAAAATATGAGTCATGGGCCTTAACGCTCCTTATACAATATAACATTTTTGTTGATGTCCTGTCTTGCAACAGAGTAATTTGCAATGGCTTCAACTGCACATAATAATGAACGGACCTCATCCTTTTACCTTTTTTTTGTCCAAGCCTGAAGCTGACAGATATCTTATAAATATTTTCACCCAAATCTCTCAAGGAAACAAAAACAGAAACTGCTGGAAAATCTCAGCAGGTCTGGCAGTGTCTGTGGAGAGAAATCAGTGTTTTGGATCTCGTGACCCTTCTTCAGAACTGATGGTATCTAGATTTTTCTCCACAGATGCTGCCAGACCTGCTGACATTTGCAGCAATTTCTGTTTTTGTTTCAGATTTCCAGCAGCTGCAGTTCTTTTGGTTTATTTTCCCCCTCTCACTTGCAAATCTGATGAAGTCTGTTGGTTGCCTGGAATGGTCCAAGAGTGGCATATGAGTGGAATTAAAGGAAGGAAGGGAACACAGTGTAGACACCCTAACTATTATCTTTCATAGGCACTTGCATGCATTTGGCCTATATCCCTCTGAACCTTTCCAATTCACGTACCTGTTCAAATTCTTTTAAATGTTGTAACTACTAACACCCACCACTTCCTCTGGCAGTTCATTCTGCATAAACCAGTGGTCTTGTGGTAGAGGTGAATTCTTGTATGTAGTTAGTGCTGACCATGGTTACATTAAAAAGTCATATTTGACTCTACATCCAAAAGACTCCTGTAGTATTTACCCATCTCTCTCCTTCAATAAAACTGTCTGATATGGTGGCAGCAGGGTAATGAGCAACAGAAAAGAACATCAAGCAAACAATGATGGAGAGCAACAAGAAAGAGAAAGAAATGAAGAATTCATTGTCAATACCAGAGTGCTTTCAGCAATTTCCAGTCCCAGGCCAGGCTGTATGCAATATACTACCTAGAAAGTACCCTGAACAGGGGCTGCACTGGCATGAGAGATTCACAAGGCCTCACACTGCATTAGGGCTAGCTACAAAGCCTGGAAAGGAACAGGTTAGTGCTCACCTGTTTCTTGTGGGCGGTGATGCAGATGGAATCCTAATCAGACAAAAGGTCATGAAGAGGCAACTACATATGGCTTATGGAAGTTAAAGTATTATGACTAAATCATACTCAGAAAAAACATCGTTCTTGAGCAAGTGAAGTTTAATAAACACACACACATGATTGGGAGGGCCGAAGGGCCTGTACTGTGCTGTACTGTTCTATGTTCTATATAACACAGTTTGTTCACATGGCTGACATATGCAAGTGATGGAACACAGCACACAAAAGTGATCTCCCTTCACTCCCTACCTAACCGGCATAATATAATTGCCACTAGATTGAGCAAATTGCTCTAACCAATAATGAGCAAATATTCCACTTACAGGATTTCTTCACATTTGAAGGACCATTTAGTGCTTGCATATTGATAGCAATGCAGTGTCAATGTGTTCATTTGACATTGTTAGCCTCTTCACTAATGTACCATTCAATTGCTATGATAGTGTGAACTTATGAACACAGCAACTCATGCTGTTGGGTTTAGCATCAATGACCTCACAAACACGCATTTATTTGGGCGTTGCTGTGGGATCCCCACCAGGCCCAGCTCTCAGATATCTTTGTTGAGTTCCACAAAAAACATGCCTGCAGTGGATTGACTCCTAACCACCTTCTCTTGCATATTTCTGACATATAGATGATCCATTTTCTATATACAAATCTGCAGCTGCATGTTAAAATTTCCTTATATGTCTTAATGGGCCCATCCTGCACACAACAACAGCTTTCAAATGTAATGATCTAATGAGCTCCCTCTCCTCAATGTTCCAGTTGAGAAATCAGCCAGATGGTCTACTACTACAGTCTTCTGCAAATCCACCTTCACTGATCAATAAGGATTCCTGCAGTCCCATGTACTATAAGATTAAGCTTCTTGGAAAACTTGTAAATCGGGCCCAAGTCATTTGTCCACTGTACAAGCCTGATGCTGAAATAGGGTGCATCAAAATGGCTACCCTGATCAGATCATTTCTCAGTGAATATCACAAATTCACAAATGGGCCTATGGCAGTCACTTTTGGTTCTGAAGAGTCCCCAGTCGACCTCAGATTACCCTGCTAAAGTAAATGTACTTCACCTGAGCAACAGGTGAAGCTAGCTGTTTCATGCTGCTCATATGCAGGAGTAACAGAAGTGGTGTTTGTCATTAACAGAATGCTGCTGTCAAACCAAACATATTCTGCTCGTGACACAAATGAGGAATGTGATCTATGAATCTCAGTGCCAGTATGATGTCAGGTATGTGGGCTGTACATCCCAATAAGTGGCAGATATAATCAAGCAGCAATTACTGACTGTATCCAACCAGCCCATACCAGCAAACCTCAACACAGAATCCAGCGATAGATGTTACTCTGCAACAGAACACCAAATGCCACATAACCCTGTGTGTGCAAAGAATTAAACTGACAACAAATTTAAAGTTGGGCTTGTAATAAAGTGCACTTGTGTCTCTTGGAAGTTTGATATATTAATAGCCAGGGTCCTGCCCTTTGCAGATTGAAATGGCACGGACATACACTACACCGACATCAACACAACAAATTAGGAGGGAGCCATTGTCTGAATGATATCTCAGGACAACCAGAGTCAATTGTTTATAATTTAATCAAAGTTTGACAGTTTCAAACACATAAACAAGGAAGAAGAGTAGACCATTCGGCCCTTTGAGCATGCTCCATTATTCAATAGGATCATGCCTAATCTGGTTCTGCTCTGGAAGCAGAGGTCTAGATTGGAAACATGAACAGTAGTTTGCACACATTTACAATATCTCCCCGAATCTTCTTTGTTCCAAGAAGAACAGCACCAGCTTCTCCTAATCATGTTGCTTTAACCCTGCAGCCCAATGGTATCAATGTGGATTTCACAAGCTTCAAAATCTCCCCTCCCCCTACCGCAGCCCAAAACCAGTCCAGCTCGTCCCTGCCTCCCTAACCTGTCCTTCCTCCCACCTATCCCCTCCTCCCACCTCAAGCCGCACCTCCATCTCCTACCGACTAACCTCATCCCACCCCCTTGACCTGTCCGTCCTCCCTGGACTGACCTATCCCCTCCCTAACTCCCTACCTACACTCACCTTTACTGGCTCCATCCCCGCCTCTTCGACCTGTTTGTTTCCTCTCCACCTATCCTCTCCTCTATCCCTCTTCTATCCACCTCCCGCTCTCTCCCTATTTATTTCAGAACCCCCTTCCCCTCCCCCTTTTCTGATGAAGGGTCTAGGCCCAAAACGTCAGCCTCTCTGCTCCTATGATGCTGCTTGGCCTGCTGTGTTCATCCGCACCTTGTTGTCTCAGATTCACCAGCATCTGCAGGTCCTACTATCTCTGCTTTAATCTCATATCTGGAATCATTTTGGGAAATCTCCTCCTTGGATGTCACATCCTTTTTCATAGTGTGTTAACCAGAACTAGATGCAATGTTCCAGTTGTGCCCGAACTAGATCTTTATGAACATTCAGCATCTTGTACTCTGTCAACTCAGTCCAGCCTATATTTGACTGTAGACCCACTGTACCATTGCTATCAAGCCAGTGGATCAATCCCCCGTGGTTCAATAAGGAGTGCCAGAGAGCATGCCAGGGACAACACCAGGCAGACCAAAGACATGAAGTACTAACCTGGTAAAGCTGTAACACAGGATTACAGTCTTCCCAAATAATAGGAAGAAGCAGTATGCAATGGACAGGGCTAAGAGATTCCACAGCCATTAGACATGATAAGCTCACAAATCCTACCACCTTATTCGTGACTAGTGATCAATTCTCCTCCCATCAATTTGATGGCAGTGATCTCCTTGTTCAACACTTATCCAATGTTGATGTCATCTCACATGCGCTATTAAATCAAACCTTGGTGATTTGAAGGTCTAATTGCAAATGCTATCTATTAAGTGACTGATGCAGGGATGGGTGAAGGCACTGTCCTTTTTGTGCACTTACCTATCCTGTAGAGACCCAACTGTCCTTAAATGTTAAGATTCCTTGATAACAGACTCTTCTCCATTTGAATGTGTTCAAGGTTTCTTCTCCCCACCAACCCCTCCCCCACCCCTGTCCCCATCCCATGTATTGGCCCTTACACGCTTGGGAATTGGTTTTCAGAATGTCTTTGGATCTAAAGTTGATGTGAGTCTGGGTTTCCATGCTCAGCTGGCTGTACAATATGTCCTTTGGTATACAGGAATCCTCCGTCTGAATCCACATGGCTGACCCAGTGAAGGTCAGTTCTGATAAACATACTGTTGATACTAGGTTTGAAGCACCTTGCAAGAAATGTTAGGGATTTTGTTCTATCACTTGACATTGCAGGTGGATCTTCAGCAATGAAGGCAGAATGAATCTGGTCATGTTGTGACATAAGTAGGTTGCCCATGCCTCACAGCCAAAGGGAATTGGTGTGAGAACCCCTAAATGGGTAGACTTTGATTTTTGTTTTCAGACAAACTCCAAGCTCTTTTCAAATCCTGTTTTCAAGCCCATCAAATACTGAGCTTGCTGTGGCCAGGCAACTGGCAATTCCATCATCTAACACAGTGCTGTTGGAGTGAATACTCCCAAATAGCAGAAGTTGGTTGTGACTATGAGGTGAACCTTTACCTTTACCACATGCACTGCAGTGATTCACAAAGGCAGCTCACCATCACTTTCTCAAGGGAAATTAAGGATGGGCAAACACTAATTTTATCAGTGACACCCACAGCCTGCAAAACATTTTTTAAGAAATCTGAGTGACCTGCTCTGAAAATTCCTTATATTCCAGACCACAGCACTGTTTTGACATTGCAGTGTTCCTGATGACATCAGTTGGAATGTTCTTGATGAAATAACACATCTTTAGGTTGTCATCAACTCCCAGTAATACTGCCAAGATAGAACACAATACTTCCTTCTGAGGGAGGTGTCTTACCCCTGACACTGATTCGAAGCACCTGAGTGTCCCACAGCACAGAACTCTCAACTATTAGTCTGACCTCATCGATACCAGCCTAAAAGGAAATCAGGATGAATATTTATAAGTCCACAAATTTGCTGGAACATCATGTAGGGAGAATTCAGCCAGAATACATTGGACAATAAAAGTGACCTTGTTCTACTGCATTGTGGAAATAGTGTCCTGCTTCATGATTCAATAGCTGTTTTAAAAGGTTATAGAGAAAGGCCCTTTGGATCATCACGTCCATGTTCACAAAAACAGCCACCTAGTCTAATCCCATTTTCCAGCTCTTGGCCCATAACCATGTCAGCCTTGGCATTGCAAGGTCAAGTCTTTTTGCTTTGTATTCAACCTGTCCACAGTCTATGGCATACCTCCGGAAGAGGTGAGACCTGTACATGTTTTCCTGGTTCAGAGGTAGGGTTACTGCCACTGTGCCACAATAACAAGTCTTATCAAAGTAACAGCCTTAGCAATGGTCAGTGGTCGCTCACTATCTTAATGTCCAGGTTCCAGTAACTCTGTGCATCTGTCTTCATAAAAACAGATGATCCCAATGTCAGAGTAAAAGAACACAAGCTGACCAGCTCTCAGGGAACAGAATGCTCATGACAGTCAACTTAGAAGGTTTTATAAGATTAAAGGTGTTATATAAATACATGTGTTTGTTGTACGGTGAGGTGACTTACAGCGATAAAAATGCAATAGTTTCATGAACTTCCATTGTTCCCGTTGTTGCAGCTGGAGGTGCCGTAGTTCCAGCATTGAACACCTGGTGGCAATGTTGAGAACGATGTTCCTGTAGCTCAACACCGTCATCTGCTGGCCTATAGTGGTACTGCCAGTGCACTAAGTTATAACCATCCAAGTTTACAGCTCCAAAACAAGTCATTCTGCCCATTCTGACTGTGACAGTTCTCAGAAAGAGTGTTGATTTTCACCGGCTCGAGGGAACTCGTTTTGCAGGGAAGAGCTGGCAAAATGTGACAGTGTTCGGGTCCAACCGACCATCAGACTTTTTTTTCCAGAGGTGGGAATGGAGCAGAAGGGCCTTGTAATCTTTTTGGAACAAAAACAGAAATTGCTGGAAAAGCTCTCCTGCCTCTCCTCCCCTTCCCTCTGACTCCATCCCCTCTCACAAGCCCACCTTCTGTTGAGTATTCACCATCCCTCCTAACCTTCCACTCTCTGATGCTGAACATTCTGTACTCAGCAAAGGTCTCAGCTTTATTCCTCTGTGACCCCACCTTAACGAATTTCAGGTACGACGTAACATTGAACTCTTCTTCCGCCATCTTCGCCTCCATGCTCATTTCTTTGGACAAGAGTTCTCTCCCCGTCCCACAGACCCCGTCGCCCATTTCCAACACTCTCCATCCATCTGGACCCCTCCCTCTGGCCTTTTACCTGCACTTGATCTGTTCATTGAGAACTATCAATGTGACATTGGTCACCTCAATGTCTCTGCTCCCCCCCCATCACCAAATTCAACCTACTTCCCTCCAAACTGACTACACTCTGTGCGCTTCGATCTAACCCTGACATTGTTATTAAGCCTGCCGATATGGATGGTGCTGTTGTAGTCTGGCATACTGACCTCTACATTGCAGAGGCTCAGCGCCAGCTCTCAGATGACTCCTTCTATCTCCTCCCGGACCATGACCCCACCATGATGCATCAGGCCGTTGTATCTACTATGGTAACAGACCTCATTTCATCTGGTGACCTCCCCACCACTGCCTCGAAGCTGATAGACCCCCAGCCCCGCACAACTTGCTTCTACCTCCTCCAAAAATCCGCAAACAGGACTGTCCAGGCAGACCCATTGTTTCAGCCTGCTCCTGCCCCACAGAACTCATCTCTTCCTACACTGACTCAGTCTTCTCTCCCCTGGTCTAATCCCCTGACCACGTACATTCGTGATTCCTCTGATGCTTTACACCAGTTTCAAAACTTCCATTTTGCAGTTTCCAGCCACCTCTTCTTTACCACAGACATGCAGTCCCTTTACATGTCCATTCCCCACCAGGATGGTCTCAGGGCTCTCTGCTTCTTCCAGGAGCAAAAGTCTGCACCATCCCCACCCACCACCACCCTCCTCCACTTAACCGAGTTCATCCTCACCCTCAACAACTTCCCTTTTAAAAAAGTCAGTTCTGAGGAAGGGTCACCGGGTCTGAAATGTTAACTCTGATTTTTTTCCTTCACAGATGCTGCCAGACCTGCTGAGCTTTTCCAGCAACTTCTTTTTTTGTTCCTGATTTACAACATCCACAGTTTTTATTTTGTAATCTTTCTGTTCTACAATAAATGTAGAATGTTACAAAGCATGAGGATTCCTTTCCACTTTCTCAGTCAGGTATTAGCTCCCCCAAAGAACACAATGTGAAGGACCACACAATGTGAGCTCAAAGAACTTCCAATGCCACAGTCCAATGTCTGACTGTGTACTGGTAAATGGTGAGAGTGATGAAGGAAGCAGCATACAGGTTAAAGAATGTTATAACTTTATTGGGTTTCATGGATCTGTTAGTCAGAATCACCAGAAAGGGTCCTCTACTAGTACATCACAAGCCTCTCCTCTGGTCTTTAGGGGGTCATCAGATCTGCATCTCCCTCCATATCCTCACCATGGAACAGGGCATTGTGCTGCACAGTAACCCCACTGTTCAAATCTTCACCAAACCCCTCACTGCTCCAGCCTGAAGTACCACTTGCACAGCATATCAAATCACCACAATACAGCAGACCCTGTGGTATTTGGGACCTGGTGTCTCTAGGACCCTGCGGACTCCCCTGACCAGTAGGTGTGAAATGACGTTACCCAGGTACCTTTGCATGTGTCAATGAAAGGACTAAACAGCAGGAGGCAGCAGTGAGTGGGACAGTCATGTCTTCATTTGAAGACAACATGGCTTAGAGCTAAGCTTTACAGTTTTAACAACTCTATCTCTAACTATCCAATTCTTTAGAAACTTTAATACTTCCCAGATACATGTAACTTTTGCCGATTTATTGAATTCTTTGGCCCATTCTTCTCTCTTCGTGGGTTGGTTCTCTCTCTGGTCAGACAGCAAGCTGCTGTGGTCTCCATTGTGTCCAGAGGGACCTCCAGGGTCAGGGGGAGAGTGGGGTCAGGCTGAGCCCTGCCATGACCGGCTTCTTACACCTTCTCAAATTTTACAAAGAATTGACCCATCAGGGTCATTGAGTTAATTTTTTTTATCACATTGAAATGTTGTTCATGGCTTTCGATTGCTTGCTGATAGTGAACCCTTTGATATGTCTGCTTTGGGCTCTGGGTGTCTGGTTTTGGTGTAAAATGTGCACCTAGTCTTTTGTTTTACTGAGGCACATCTGCCCCATGTATCCCATGTGGTGATCTGTTTGTCAGGAAATGTTGAACTGCCCTTTTACACTTGTTAATGTGTTGGGGTACCTCTCTGGTTTTCAGTTGTCTGGGCTCGAATCTTGCAAAGGTCTATCTCTAGGCAGAATTGTCTCTGTGTGTCTCTATGTGTTGGACTGAGATATTCCCAGAATAATTTATTGTTTGGCCAATTTCTGTGCCTATTCATTTCAGTTGCTGTGTTTATATGTCTGTCATTATGATTGTTGTAGCTGGTTCCTTTTTAATGATTTTATTTTACCTGAGCAGTCACAGCCTGCTACACCTTGTAAGGGGATAGTGAAGGGCATTACCCAATCAATCTCAGCATTTGAATCACATCATCAAGAGACAGTGACTTTCTCAATCCTCACTCAGAATGCCCTGTGGTATATCTTGCAGCTCGCTTCTGCATCCGTTCATTTCTGTCACAGGAGTGAGCAGCTATGTCCTCAGTGGGTAGCCCTAGTCACCTCATATCCAGCCTGAAGGAACATGGAGCTAGAAAAGCTGTGAATGTCTGATGCATATATACTGCTTGCTAGAACTACACTCACACCTGAAGGATCCATCTACAGCGGGTGCAGACCCATTAGACATTGATGGAATGGAAACCCTTCCTGTTGATGTATGCCACAGGCTAGGTATCTGGGATACTAAATGCCCACATCAGTATAATCGTTCACACCATGAACCAGCAATTGGCAGTGACCCCAAAGACAATCCCCTTTTTCAATTATAGATTGGAAAATCCCAAATCTAACATCACTACTTTGGAAATGTGGGAGACAGGAGACAGGTCATTACAGACCACTTAATCTGGTACCTGTCATCAGGAAATGCTGGATCCATTATGAAGGAAATAATAGCAAATCATTGCTTGTTTATACCTAAGTTAAACATTGCTAAAAGGAGACACCCATTCAATGTTTTTCATTTTGCTTTCACCAGGACTAATGTGCAAGAAATCAAAGTTGGAAAGAGAACATTAGCTTCTATAATGCGAGAACAGGATGCTGATTGGTTGGGTCATGGTTGGTATGGAAATGTTTTGGGAACTGTTATCAAGTTTAGTCAGGGCTAATTAAACTTACACCAGACAGACTATAGTCAGGGTGTTGCCATGGGGAATGAAATTCTAATTAACCTTTTCTTCAGTGTAAAATATACAATTTAAAGACAAGTTTCTTTTGTTTGTACAGAACAGGGACCTGTGTGTAAATATGTGGCACTTCCAGCTTATGCAAATGAATTATACTGCGAGCCAAACTGATAATCTTAAATTGATTTCTGGTGTAATTCTTAGCACAGTCTGGATGGTTGGATCCATGTCCAACATGAGGGGCAAGGCCGTAGCCCGGCTGTGCCCCAGGACATGTGGAGCCTGTGTCGACACTGCACCTTGCTAATCCCCAGGAATCGGATTGACAGCCGGAAAACTCTGGGCCTCCTCCTGCACATTGTAAGGGATCCTGCATTTTTATTGGGAGTATCTTGAACCAGTCAGTCTAGTTCCAGACTAAGGGACAAACTTATTTAACACTGAATTGTAGTTAATCCAAATTATGAGTGGCAGCAAAAAACAGTAGTAGGGTCAGGGCAGGGTGTGGGGGGCCAGGGTCAGGGACGGGGAGCCAAGAGAAAGGCAGGCATACAGGAGCCAGGGCCCAGGGTCTGGTGGCTGGGACAGGGTCTGGGGGTCAGCGAAGTAGCAGGGTCATGGGACTGGCTTCTGGGTGTGGGGGTCGGGCAGAGTGTGGGGGTTGGGACAGAGTCAGGGGCTGGCTTCAGGTGTGTCGGGGTGGGCTATGGGGCTAAGCCTAGGGACCGGGGCAGTGTGCAGGAGTCATGGCAGGGTCTGGGGGTCGAGGCAGGGTGCTGGAGCTGGAGCCTGGTCAGAGGTGTTTTAGTTTGAGGAAGGAAGCTGGTTGGGATCCAGTTTGAAGCCTTTCTAACTTCTGTGCCTCGCAGTTGTGACTGAAATGACTTTTGGCTGTTAGATGAGTGTCTTATTTATATATATTTAATGTTCATTTACTCAACGTTCTGATGGATCTGGAACATATAAACTGTGTCATTTGAAGGGATTAATTTGAAACATTTAAATTCATCAAGCTTACCAAATTGAACTAATGTAAATGACATAAAATCCCATTAAAACTTACAATTTTAAAGTTTAACTATGATAGGATCTGAGTATTTAATTCTGGAGCTCTTAAAGCCCACTGATTCACAGCTCAGTGTCCTGGTTAATGCCAGACCTGGAGCGATGATAGTGCACATTCTACCTGTCGTTAAAGTTGAATTTTGAAAATGAAAAGCTTATTGGTTAGTATATTAGATAGGAAAAGTGCATCACATGCTTGATGTCAAGCTGATATTCTTTTGAAGTATGAAAAAAATGCCAATTATATTTCTACTCAGAGATAGTCAGATGCTGGAGTCAGGGATAACACAGTGTGGAGCTGGAGGGACACAGCAGGCCAGGCAGCATCAGAGGAGCAGGAAAGTTTACATTTCGGGTTGGGACCCTTTTTCTGAAGAGGGTCCCGACCGGAAACGTCAACTTTCCTGCTCCTCTGATGCTGCCTGACTTGCTGCGTTCCTTCAGCTCCACACTGTGTTATCCCTATTATATTTCTACCTGATGATGACAGAAGTAGCGGACTCTCATTACATCTTTGTTCCAAACATGGACAAGCGGGCTGAATTCCAGGAATGAGGTGACAGTAACTGCCCATGACCACAAGACAGCACTTTAACAGGCATGGGTCCATCTCGCTCCAGCTACATTGAAGTCAATGGGAATGTTCTCCACTGTTTGGAGCCATCCCTGACACAAAGGGAAATGGTTGTGATTAGTGAAGGCCAATCATCTCAGCCCCAGAACATTACTGTAGGACTTCC